ATACCTACCCCGAAGAGACTTCTTGCGAATCTGGAACCATTACCTTCCTAATACCGATATAAGAATCCCCTAATTGATATAGAAATGACACAAGTCTTGACATCCTCCAATGCAAACCTCAATTTCTAGCCAAATTATACACCTGAAAATCTCCAATTATTACATGTAAAACCTTGAACGCATTAGAACCATTCTCTAGAGTCATCCACTCTACCAAAACTGCAATTAGACCGATCAAAAGAACCGAACAACCTGCGCCTCATCAGCACATTCAGACACCACAGAATGTAACCTTGCCTTAATGCAACCAAACCACTTCCTATCCTATACACCGCACACCCTTACCAATAACCACTCAAAACATCCCGTGATTCTCATACACCTATGAAGCATAATATAACCTTGCCTTAGTCGAAAATTTTTCCTTTACTCGAGCCATCCTCGGGCTCAATCCCCGCAAACCATAACTGATTCACCAGCACGCCTCAAATCGGAACCAACATAGCACATAACCGTGCAATCAGCTAATCAATAGCAAACTCCCCCACTTGGCTCGAAGCCATAGATCAAAACACACACAATAACTAATTACGCATATACTTAATTGTTGCCATAATACCACAGTGAGATTAACTCAATCCTTCATAAGCTCGTGGAACACCGACCATCTGGTACTTCATATTTTCTGCAAATCTCGCATTCACCCTCGTAGTAGTCAAGCCTACTCTCTTGAGCAACTCAAATTCAAATTGCAACGCATATATTTCACTTGTGAATGACATCTTCTAACCGATAACATAAGGAACACACAACCTCAGAACGCTCCGCGGGAGATAACCCACCTGCTTTGCCCCCAACTAACATTTCTGTATACCTCCACCGTCATAAACATTATGCAGTCACTTAGTCTTCCTAAGTCTGAACTCATACCGCAACATGAAATTTACTTCATTCCCAACTAGGAAACATGAAAAGATTCTTCACACACCCATAACTCGGGGCTATACATCCAGTCACGATGGAAATCAAACACCAAATAGTTCTTGCTGCCCCAAAGCAGGCCCTTCTCGTCTCATTCAACTCATATGAACACATCTCGCAGTCACATCACCCTCATCACATAGCTATCCAGTCATTACTTCCCTTAATAGGGAAACAACAGAACACATAGATCCAGAAACACGCGCTCACGCAATCAACAGCTCAGGGCACAAGCTATAGGCAAAAATCCGGTCTCAAGTCTCCCAGACAGGCCCAGCGTCAAACACACAGAGATCACATCTCGCCCCTCGATCATGGAATCACAAGCCATCGATGCACATCTGATACTGAGCACTTATGCGCGCATACGAACGCGTGGAAGGAATTTCAAGAGTTACTTTTCAAGCTGAATCAAAGACGCACGATAAGAATTCAAGAATGTGAAGTTTTTCCTCAAGGTTCTGCAGCCTCTCGAGGATAAATACAGACGTCTCCATATCGATCCGCGAGACTCTACTAAACTTGCTCATGACTCGTGAGACCTATGTAACCTAGGCTCTGATACCAACTTGTCACGACCCAAAACCCGAACCCGGTCGTGATGGCGCATCTCGTGAAGACAAGGCCAGCCAACTATTGCCAATTCGAAGTTAAACAGCTAAACAGCAAGAAAACAATCTAAAACATGATTTAATAATACTAAGTAGTAGATAATATCATAACAATAAAGTACAACCCAAACACAGCCCTAATTGGGGTGTCACTAGTCATGAGCATCTATAAGTCATAATACAAGTCTGCTAAGTCAATATGCTAGTACAAATGTCTGAATATAGATAGAAGTGATAAAGGAGGAGAAACACGGGACTGCGGACGCGAGGCACCTACCTCGTGGACTCCGAATGTTCGCCTGAAGCTGGAAGGATCAGCACTCGGGAGCGGAACCACATACTCCTGAATCTGCACACAGGGTGCGGGGAGTAAAGTGAGTACTCCGACTCAGTGAGTAATACTCATAAATAAAGACTGAGTGATAAGAAATCACAAAAAGTGCATCAACATGCTGTATAGAAGTAGTACAAAACCAGTAAGAAAGCAATGAAGCTGTGAAATCTCTTAAAGCATCTTAGCTCAGTTTAAACTTCTAAAAAAATGGCTTTTCAACAGTTAAGCAATTGAATACAAAGCAACTAGAGCAGATAAGCATAGAGAACCCGCCCCTCGAGCACAATTACACAACTAAACAGGTAAATGACAGATAAACACATAAAGGTTCGCCCCTCGGGCACAATGTTAACAACTCCGCCCTTCGGGCAACATCTCATATCAATACCAGCCCCTCGGGCAATCACATAGAACCGTACCAGCACCTCGGGCTATATCTCACATCACAATGCGTACCCGCGCTCACTGGGGGTGTGCAGACTCCTGGAGGGGACCCTTACGGCCCAAGCGCAATATCAAGCCATCTCGTGGCGTCATCACTAGGCCCTCGGCCTCATATCAATCAAGCCACCTCGTGGCGTACATATCTCAGGCCCTCGGCCTCAAATCAATATCAGTGTTTCCTCACTACATAGGCCCTTGGCCTTACTCAGTAAAAAATCCTCACAAGCCCTTCGGGCAGTAGTAAAACAGTATTTCTCAGCCCAAACATCATTTAAAATATCATTTAAGTATTAAAGGGGAGTAAACATGGCTGCGTGTAAAAGCAGTGGAAAATAACATGACTGAGTTCAAGTATAAAATCAAAACAGTGAAGAAATATCAATAAAAATCCCCCGAAGGGTTCAAATAGTTGGCACGAAGCCCAAATATGGCATTCCGCCCAAATAATGATGATAGAAAATAGATTTCAGTCAAATACACGGTAAAATCATCAATCGGGAGGGACCAAGTCACAATCCCCAATAGTGTACGAACCCACGCTAGTCATCAAGCGTGTGCCTCACCTCAATATAGCACTACGATGTGCAATCCGGGGTTTCAAACCCTTAGAACATCATTTACAATCATTACTCACCTCGATCCGGTCCAAACTCTAGCCCGCGATGCCTTTGCCGCACAAATCGACCTCCGGATGCTCCAAATCTAGCCACAATCAGAACATGACCATTAAAATATGCTAAGGGGACAAATCCCACTCGAAATTATCCAATTTACGTCAAAATCCCGAAATTTCTCAAACCCGGCCCCCGGGCCCACGTCTCGAAATTCGATAAAATTAACATCAATAGAATCCTCATCCTCTTACGAGTTCATACATATCAAATTTACCAAAATCCGACCTCATATGGTCACTCAAATTCAAAAATTTCACTCTCTGATTTCAAGCCCTAAACTCCCAACCCTTCCTCTAATTTCCCACACATTTTCATGATTAGACAATGATATAATCACCATAAACACAAGGTATAAAGTCCAAGTAGCTTACCTCTGTGGATACACTTGATCCCCTCTTGAAATCACAGCTTGGAGCTCCAAAATCGCACAAAAATGGTGAACAAAAGACTGAAAATCGCGAAGGGGCATTTTTATACATCTGCCCAGCACTTCCACACCTGCGATCCCATAGGCGCATATGCGCTTCCGCTTCTGCGGAAAACATCTGCTTCTACGGATTTCACTTATGACACCAGGCCCTGCATCTGCGGTCAATCCACGCACCTGCGGTACCGTTTTGCGGTCAAATTGCCGCTTCTGCGGCTTTCACTTAAAAATCCAAAAATCGCATCTGCGACCACATAGCCGCACCTGCGCCACCGCAGGTGCGGTCAGACAACCGCATCTGCGGCTCCTGCACTTCTCTTCCTTGACCGCTTCTGCGACTAAAACTCCGCTTATGCGGCGCCGCACCTGCGGTCCCCAATCCGCAGGTGCGAAAATACCAGAAGCAGCAAATTCAGCAGCTGCAACAAAATCCAAACTTCTCCGTTAACCATCCGAAATCACCTCGAGGCCTCCGGGACCTTAACCAAAAGCACAAACATATTCTAATACCTTATTCAAATTTGTTCCAATCATCAAAATACCTCAAACAACATCAAATCACCCAAAACACATCGGATTCAAGCCAAACTTTCTAAAATTTTCCAAATTTTGCTTTTGATCAAGAACCCAACCAAACCATGTCCGAATAATCTAAAATTTTCACACACATCCCAAATGACACAACGAAGCTACTGCCACTCTCGGAATTCCATTTCGACCCCTATATCAAAATCTCGCCTACCAACCAGAAATCGCCAAAATCTCAATTTCGCCAATTCAAGCCTAAACCTTCCACGGACTTTCAAAATGCATTCCGATCACGCTCCTATGTCCCAAATCACCTAACGAAGCTAACCAAATCATAAAAATTCCGATCCGAGATCATATACAAACAAGTCAAATATTGGTCTCAAATTTCAAGCTTCAAACTGGGAACTATTCTTCCAAATTCATTCCGATTACCCCGAAAACCAAAACCAACGATTTACATGAGTCGTAATACATCACACGGGGCAAGTTATGCCCGGGAACTAACGAACAAAGTATAAAAGCTCAAAACGACCGTTCGGGTCGTTACAGCAATGATGTAATTATCGTAGGTCATATGACTACAAACTATTCGTAAAAATATTTTTCAAGTATTCTTCAATGTATTTTTGTATATCCTAAAAATATTGATAAAAATATTTTTGTATCTTTTTTTAGATTTCTGTTCAAAGAATATGCATTATTCATTGAATATTCATAAAAATATTNTAACAAGTTATATAAACGTTATAGTATTACAGTGAAGTGTCTATGTGTGTGTTTGTATGTATGTATGTGTGTGTGTATATATATATATACACAAACACTATATATACACACACACACACTAACATATACTATAACAAGTGTTAGTATATATATATATATATATATATATATATATATATATATATATATATACACACAAAAATTTACACACACAACTCTCAATACAAAAAACTAAACGACCCTCCCTCTTACCCAAACCCTAGAAACCAACCATGGACCCCTCTCCCAGCACTCCCAAACGATCCCAATCCGCCTCTTATTCTAATGATAACGATGGAGAGCGAATTCCAACATTTGAAGTGCTTCTGAAAGATTCATACATCAAACAAGACTATCTGGTAAATGATATTTTATTTTTTGAAAAAATCGGCTAATCAACAATCTACCTTTTGTTTTTATATGGCTAAGTTTACATTTCATTCAGTTAGTATTGTAAATACTGTTATAAAATGAAATTGTTTCTTTGTCCTTGTGTTATTTTGCCAGCATATTCCAAAATGCTTCTACGAGCACATTCCTGAAGCACATACCAGCGCAGTTCTTCAATGTGGTGGCAAAGAGTGGTTTATGGGATTGAACGTTGGTGAGCGTAGATGGCTCAAAGACGGCTGGAAAAGTTTTGTGATGAAGAATAATATCAAGCGGGGTTGTTTGGTTAAATTTGAGTTAGTTGAAATTGCACAAATCCTTGTTGTCTTCAAAGTCGAAGTGAAAGGACAAGGAACTCACGAAGATCCTGTCGAGATTAATTAGTTTTTTTTTAAGAACTCGTGAAGTGTTTGAATTGTTTCCCCCTATTGTGGAACTTTGTTATTTTTTTCCTTTGTTAGCTGCACGTTTTAATTTCATCCAGTTATGCAATGTGTATTTTTATTTTCTGTTGATGTATTAATGTTATGAAATTCAATCTTCATATTGGTCTTATTTACTATAATTTTTTTTAATTATCATTCAAAAAAATTGAATTGAATCATATTGGTCTTCTTTGCTTTTTTCATTTCTTCCAGATGAAATCAATTTCAAAGACTATTTTTTAATTTTTTTTTTAAATCAATTCTTCTCTAGGATTCTTTTGGAATAGAGAAGACAAAATAACACATTTATTTCATCTAACACCATTTATTTCAACTAACACCATTTATGTCAACTAACACCATTTATTTCTACCAACACCATTAATTTGCCAAATTGAACAAAATTAAACAAAAAAAAAACGCTCAAAATTGAAATATTTTTTGGACTGGGTTGGCCCCCCATATATAGTCACATACTCAAATCCTAAACTATGAAAAACACTTTCTCCTACAAACCCTAAATTATGGATGCCTCTCCCTCTACCAAACGAGTCCTATCTTACTCTACTACTAGCAGTGATAATGAAGAAGAGAGTCCTCCAACATTTGAAGTGGTTATGACTGATTCATACATCAACTACGACGATCTGTTAAATTATTATGTCTTTTAAACTTTATTTCTTTGAATATTACAATAACTTTTTGAGTTAATCCTATATGATTTTTTTTTTACATAAAATACTTTTGTTTCTTATACCTTAACTCCAAAAAATATATATGCGTTAGTATTGTATATGTTGATTCAGTTTCATATTTTTCGAAACTTAATAGTAATGTTTTTTTAAAGTATATTCCAAGAAAAATCTACAAGCATCTCCCTCTAACAGTAGACACCGCGCTTCTTCACTATCGTGGCAAAGAGTGGTATGTAAATATGAGCGTTGGTGATAGAAGAAGGTTCAAGGCAGGCTGAAAACTTTTTGTTTTGGACAATTATGTCAATCGAGGTTTCATCGTCAAATTTACGTTGGTTGATGTTGCACCACTATATGTTGACTTCAATGTTGAATTGAAGGGAGAAGGAACTTCTGATAATAATCCGGTTGAAATTGATTAGGATTTGTATTGTGTTTTTCTATCCCTTTACTATATTTTATTTTCATGTATGTTGATGTGTTAATGTTATGAAATTACAATCGTCATATTGGTCTTCTTTACCATAATAATTTTCTTTTTTAATGGAATGTTTAGTAAATGCTTTTTTTTTTGTTAATACTGCCTTGAGGTGGCAGTGTCCTATATATCTACCCTTTTAATATACGAAAATATTGAAAGGGGAATAAAGAGCAAAAATATAGAAGAAAATAATAATAATAATAATAATAATAATAATAATAATAATATAAAATAATAGTAAATGCTTCATAGGGAAGTTAAATAGGTTAATGTATTGTAAGATCTAGTAAATGCTACATAGGGAAGTTAAATGTGTAGATTTTGTATTCAAAGAGGAACGGTTACACTGATTTTACAATGAACTCTTGGAGTATTTGGTTGAAGTTAGGGTTAGAAATTGGTTGCAGTTGAATGTTGAAATTTTCTGGGAAAAAATCGTGCAATGTAATGGTTGAAGGTAGGGATACCAAGATAGGTGTTGAAGGTATGGTTTTAAGTTGAATGTTGAAAGTAGGATTGAAGGGTGGGGTTTTAGTAACTGAATGTGAGTATTTTGGTTCTTACTTTGAACTGATTATAATGTTCTGAAGTCTTTCACTTCTGTACTAGTTGCAACTAATCATATTTTGTTAGTCTAGTCTTCTAAACTAAAATGAAGTAACAATAAAATGAAGAAATATTTAACAATAAAAATTATCATATGATCACCATCCCAATTCAAAAGGTCATGCTCCAATCTGTTCAAATGATACTTAATATATCGCCTCATCACTTCACTGTCCAATGCAATATCACAAACCCGTTCAAAATTCTTTAATAGTTCCCTGTACATCATGTATTCAGAAGTCATACGTGGGTTACCTCCTAGAAAGAAATATTTCAAGTGCGGACGAACAACATCTTTTCTCCACCTTTTCAATATATACCTCTCATTAATATTTTTAATCCTCTTGTGAGACAACACCTTAAGTATATGGCAGCATAGAATACTCTTGTTTCAAACCACTTGTAGCTGCAACATTAGATATTCGCCAATAGGTGTATATTCAACCGTAAATATAAATGGATCTCTAGTATTAAAACTCTTGAATGAATAATCAGCGATAATGTACTTCTCCACTCCAGCTATTGCCTGATGGTCTTCAGGGGTGCTGATTTCACAACAGTACAGTTTTCTTAACTCTACTTGAAAAAATTCAAACACTTCACGAGTATAACATGTTTGAAATTTTTCCTCCCATGCAAATTCAGATAAACATTTTGGTTCAAAGCACCTTGACTTATATTCAGCTTCCAATTCTTTCTCGAACTTAGCTCTTATGGCTAACTCATATTGCTGAACAAATAGCTTCAAAGTGCTTTGGCAGGTGATGAATCCGTCAAAGAAAGATGCATTCCTTCACTTCTTTGTGTGGACAACATCCCAGCCCAAAAGTGGTCATTTAGGTATACAGGAACCCATTTCTCCTTCTCCGAATAAAGCTTATAAAACCAATCCCTTCCATCTAAGTTATATTTTTCAATATAATCAGTCCATCGTCTCTCAAACTCAGCAACGTTAATGCTATCAAGGACTAAAGCCTTAAATTTGCCTTTGCAATCTTACCATCAAGAACTCCACTTAACTTCGTAGGCAACTTTGCGAATATGTGCCATATACAATATCTATGTACCATATTTGGCATCAATGCATTGATGGCAGCCTTAATACTATCACATTGGTCAGTCATGATAGCTAATAGATGAACATTGTTTAGAGTCCCAAGCCATGTAGATAGCACCATTTTGTAACTTGTTATATCCACACTAAACATAAGAGCACATCCCAAAAGTATAGACTGCCTATGCTGATTGACACCAACAAATGAAGCAAATGGCATATTGTATCGATTCACAAGGTATGTGGTATCAAGGCATATTACATAATGGAACTCCCCATATGCAACCTTAGAGTGTGAATGAACCCATACGACATTACGAAGTTGACCAAAACTATCCACATCTACGGAGTAGTAAAATTCCCTATCTTTTTGTTGCATGTCACTGAAGAACTTGAGTAATGATTGTGCATCCCCTTCTTGCATCTGAAGCTTTCTACTCTTCAAAATATAATTTCTACAGTCCTTTGGTGTACAACCCAAATTTTTAGGGCCACCAGCAAGTACTTCAGCGATCTTATATTTTTTGAGGGTCTTAAGCCAGCAATATCTTTGGTTGCAAGAGTTCTCTTAAGGGACTTACTAAGCGATCTGTGTCCAGCCATCAATCGCAATAGTGTTGGTTCCAATTGATGATTATATTTTTTAACCACCTTTGAAACACACCATGAACCATTCTCCTCCAAAATTCCATTTATTCTAGCACGGTGGTTCCTCCTCTTGGTAACATGCTTATTCCTTGGTTTCCTAGACCTATCACAACCATATTGCACATACCTAACAATATCACCACCTTTTTTGTTTGATGTTCTTTTGATAATGCAAAACCCCGATAATCTTGCATGTTCTTTGTGAAAATCAAACATAACATCCTTACTATTGAACCGCATCCCAGTAATTGGACCAATTATGAGATCTTCTTCATTGAACTCATTAGGCATTTCTCTGTCCTCTCCAACTTCTCCCTCTTCCTCTAAATAATGGCCGTCGTCATCATCATCATCATCGTCGTCGTCATCATCATCAGCAGCATCGTCAACATGATTTTCTCCATCATTAAAGTTGTCGTCTGAATCAATGTCGATCGACTCATCTTCATTCATCAAACTGTCATCCGAATTCAACCCTAATGATGTGTGTAATGCATTCCTTAGTTGCTCCGACCTAGTTTCTAGACTGTTATTCGGGTTTAATGGCTCCAAACTAGTTTCTAGGTTAGCGTTCATGTTTAGGTTAAGGGAAGGGTGGTTAATTATGTGTTTAATGAAAGCTCTCTTAGCATAAGTATATGGTATGACAAGGTATACCATATAAATAAAAAAACAATATTATGTATACATAATAGACTTTTGATCTTCCCATCCTTATAAATTGCATTTAAAAAAAATACGTAATTGTATTTAAAAAAAATGTAATGAGAGAATATACGAAGGCCGTCATCCGTATATACGAAGGCTTTTTATCTTCCCATGCATGAGAGAATGATAATTTATGGGATCAATATTTTGGGATAATCAAAATTTATTAACTAATTTTGGAGGGAAAAATGTCCATTAAGCCAAATGTGAAATGAAGGGCTTTACTGGTATTTCACCGGTGTGGTCATTTTTGGGCCACATGGATTATATCAAATACTAACATAGTATCATATATTGATAGGGTATCATAAAGGTCTGTCCGTTTCTTTCAGTAAGACACCCAGTCCTCTATGATACCAACCTAGTATATATCATATACTAACACGATATCATAGAGGATTGGTTCATTCTTAAAAAAAAAAAAAAAATCATTGGTCCTCTATGATACCCATATGGTATATATCATATACTGTCAAGGTATCATATAGTACTAGTTTATTCTTTCAAGAAAATTAGTGGTGTATTGTTATAATTAATGATATACTTTTGAATTAATTATTATATACCAACATAACATATAGTATAACATGTTGGCATACAATACAGCTTTATCTTCTTTGCTAGTTCTATTTAATATTGGCCTAAATTTCAAAATCTACTCCGAAAATCTCCACCAAACTTACTCAAAATTTAGCCATAGCCTTCAATCAACATTTCGAACATGACTCGGTAAAAATTTAATCAAAACAACTATAAAGTAAGATTTTTCCTATTATTTTCATGGAACTCCATCAAAAAATTCATTTAAGAAAATATTTGCAAGTACCTAGTTGAAAAAATATTGAAAATTAAAAAAAGACTTATTTATTATTGTATATTGTTATATTATATTGTATAGTAGAACAATAAAATGTTATTATAACTATGACTTTAGCTTTGCACAATAGCACCTAGCTGATTCAACAAAAAAGCAGTTGAAGTATACTATTATGATATATTGTATACTATTACAACATATTATTGCGGTATATTGCATATTATTACAATATACCATCACAGTATATTGTATACTATAATAGTATATTGTTGCAGCATAGCTATATACTCATACCGTATATTGTATACCATAGCGGGATACTATTAGGTAATTGTGTTCTTCTTCGATTATTACAGTATACCGGTACAGTATATTGTATACTATTATAGTATACTGTTGTAGTATAGCTATATACTCCAACAACATATTGTATACTGTAGCGGTATACTGTTGGGTAACTATGTTCTTTGTCGATTTTCAGCTAAAATATTCGATCTCAATCACCTCAAATCAACACCAAATGCAATCAAATTTCAGTATGAACTTCGAGAAGGTACTATAAGCAATATTTAATAACACCCACTTTGAATCAAACAAGAAATCTTCAAAATAAAATTTTTATATTCAAGAGCTTCAAGCCCGACAATAGTGAATATTTAAATACGCATAAACATTCAGATCTGGGAAGCTTTCTCGAAGGTACTATAAGCAATATACACTCACTTCATCTAATATTAAAATCTTCAAGTTGAAAAACATATATTTGGAATTTTGGAAGAAGACTTTAAGAAAATCTGTAAAATTTTAATTTCAGCAAAAATTACGAAGTGCAAAATCCGAGCAAGCATGAGATTTTGACAAAAAAGTGATGAGATTACATGAAAAAAGGGGTCAACTAGATTTCATAGTTTATTTAAAGAGAAAGCTCTAGGATTTTGCACTTCAAAGGGTAAAGGGAATGTTTTCCACTAGATTAAGCTAGCACTGAGAAAACAAAAAAGGCAAAAGGGAATGGGTAGGTGGTAAAATGTTTCGGCCGAATAAGTAGGTTTTGTAAAAAGCTTTCATATGGATAATTACGGGTAATTATTTTGGATTGGGTGGGCATTTAGTATAGATTTCTCAAGTTATTTTCCCTCCTTTTGATGAAACACATTTCTAGCATAATCAAACACGAAAAAATTACATCTCATGGAAAATACATTGCGAAAATGACTTCTTTTATATTAAACACACCACATGTGATATATTTTCTTAGCGGAGAAAACCTTGATATATTTTCACTCTTTGACTAAACAATATCCAAGTGGTTTATTATGTTATCCATTTTGTTTACAACAGACAACCTGGTAACTGCAACTATCATTGACCTTCGTATACTCCAAAACTTGGATATATAATATACATACAAAAATACATATGTCAAATTATTAATATGAGAGAGAAGATAATAGGGGTCCCCTTTTAGGGTCCTATATAACTAAAGAAAGGAAGCAAATGGTCAATGTATGGGTCGTGTCTCCCTATTGGGAATGGGAGGGAGGGACTAAGGAGTGGGCCAAATTAAATGTGATTTATCATGTTAGTTGTCACAAAAGGTAGGCTACTAATCTACCAATCCTTACATACTAGGCCTCCAATGGACCCATTAATTAACTCAAAGACAGTTTAGAGCTTAATTATCATAAATAATTATAATTTGTGTCATTATGTTCGCGCACAAAGTACAACCAAGGCGAAATACAGAAAAATAAAATGCTCTTGTTGAAAGTCAAACTCAAGACATCTGCATATTAAGCGGGCAGCGGACACTCTAACTAACTAAACTGCAATAGCTTGTTGCTCTCTTATTTCAGCTCAAAACAATTCATCTCTTGTATATTTAATAAATAAAAAAATTATGCGACATAACAAATACGGTCCATTTAATTGATGATCCGTGACCTAAATCCCAAGGCCATAAATTTAATTTGAAGACAAACATTAAAATATAATGTATGGCCCTTACGTAAGGATTATATTGCCCCTATTATTTCATCATTTTTTATGAGAAATTCTAACTAATAGTCTTTTTCTAATACGTTTTTTTACTTATCATTTACCATGATATTTCTAATTAAGTAAACTTTGAGTAAGGTAGTCTTTTTCGACACTTTGACTAAGTAAAATTCACCTTTTACTAGTGTGTCCATTTCTGAGAACCAGTTCGATTTCATGCTGGGGCGTTCGACTATGGAAGTCATTCACATTGTGAAGAGATTGGTGGAGCGGTATAGGGAGATGAATAAGGAGTTGCACATGGTGTTCTTTGACCTAGAGAAAGTATACGACAAAATCCCGAGATAGGTGTTATGGCGATGCTTGGAGGCTAAAGGGATCCTAGTAGCCTACATTAGGGTGATTAAGGACATGTATAATGAAGCTAAGACTCGGGTTAGGTCAGCGGACGGGAGGAGACTCGGAACACTTTTCGGTTATGATGGAGTTGCACTAGAGATCAACTCTTAGTCCATTCCTATTTTCCTTGGGATGGACGCATCGACGAGACACATTCAAGGTGAAGTGACATGGTGTATGTTATTTGCGGATGACATAGTATTAATTGACGAGACGCGGGATGGTGTGAACGAGAGGCTGGAGGTTTGGAGGTAGACCCTAAAGTCTAAGGGTTTCAAGTTGAGCAGGACCAAGACGGAATACATGGAGTGCAAGTTCAACAACGGTACCCAGGAAGGGGATATGGAGGTGAGGCTTGATACGCAAGTCATCCCCAAGAGAGGTAGTTTCAAGTATCTTGGATCTATAATACAAGGTAACGGGGAGATTGATGAAGATGTCACGCATCATATCGGAGCAGGATGGATGAAATGGAGGCTCGATTCCGGTGTCTTGTGCGATAAGAATGTGTCGTTGAGACTTAAAGGTAAGTTTTACAAGGTTGTAGTTACACCGACTAAGTTGTATGGAGCAGAGTGTTGGCCGATCAAGAACTCTCATACCCAGAAGCTAAAAGTAGATGAGATGAGGATGTTGAGGTGGATGTGTGGGCATACCCGGTTGGATAATATTAGGAATGAAGTTACTCGGGAAAAGGTGAGAGTAGCCCCTGTAGAGGATAAGATACGGGAGGCAAGGTTGAGATGCTTCGGGCATGTTAAGAGGAGAAGTATAGAAGCCCTAGTTAGAAGGTGTGAGCGGTTAGCCTCGATGGGCAGCATGAGGGTAAGAGGTAGGCCTATAAGAAATCTTGGGGAGAGGTTATTAGGCGGGACCTGGCGCAGCTAGAGTTGACTGAGGACATGGCCCCTAGACAGGAAGGTGTGGAGGTCAAAGATTATGGTAGAAGGTCCGTAGGTAGTCGAGCGTTTCTCTTTGTCTTACTCATTTCGCTAGCATTAGTGTTAATATGATATCTTTTATTCATAGATGGCTATTACTACCTAGAGTTTGATTGCATTCTTGGATTTGATCTTATTTCATCTTGCTGTTATTCCTACTTGTTGCAATTACCTTTTCTTTTTTCGTCGTTCTCTAGCCGAGGGTCTGTAGGAAAAAGTTTCTCTGTCCTTCCAGAGATAGGGGTAAGGCTACATACATCTTACCCTCCCTAGACCCAACTTGTGGAAACTACTTGATTTGTTGTTGTTGTTGTTTTTGTCCTTTTTATTGAAATGAATTAATCTAGTTCAATTTAGTTCCAAATATTAGCCAAACAAAATTTGATAACCGAAAATTGTAAATAAATAGGGAATGAGTGAGGCTTCCACACAGGGGCGGATTTAGGGGGCGGACGGGGTTCACCTGAACCCCCTTCGCCGAAAAATTACACTGTATATATAAGGCAAAATCATATTTTTATCTCTGTATATTAAGTTTTGAACCCCCTTAACACAACCCAAAAGTCTAGTTTAGTGGTCAAGGGGGTTCAAAACCTTCATAAGGTCATAGGTTCAATTCCCACTAAAAAAAAAAAATTGAACCCCCTTCATGGAGAAAAAATTTGAATCCCCTTCATGGAGATCCTGCCTCCGCCACTGCTTCCACATTAAAGATGTGTTCGCTCTCACAGCTCATTCTTATTTTCAAAATTCAACCCTCCTAAAATGGTCAGATGGCCAGTTAATAATCACAACAATTATCAGATAAACGATTTTTTTTTTGTTAAGAACTGCTCCAACTGTCACGTAATAAAACGTTGATTTTACTAACTCTAGTAAATAATTAATTAGTTATAAGATTCACTAATGACTTGGGCAGTAATTCAAAATCCATTAAATGGAAGCCAGAGCGGGAAGCCCAGTAAGCCCTTGATGCTTTTAGTAGATCTTCTGAAAAGACCCGGATCCCCATTGTTACTCGTAGTAGGGGCGAAGTGCACAAATATTTGATTTTGGTATTAGTGTTTATAAATTTTTGTACGTCTATTCACTTCAAAACAACTTCATACATACGATATTTGAATGCCAAGCCTTATAACTTCAGATTAAAGGTCTGAAGTTTCATATGACTGAAGTTAATGTTGTTGCTACTGTGTTAAAACACAAAATCAGAAAACTGTTAGAAGAATAAAAGAAACTGGAAAAACAGTAAAGATTAAGAAATATTCTGAGTCCACAATTTGCTTGTGCGTCCTTAAGGAATTTTAACCCCCTCACATGTTGCCAAGGTAATGGATTAAATCCTCCCAAGATAAAACGGAATAAACCTTCCTGCAACAGTGGCAATACAAACTGCAGGATACCAACGAACTTAAAGAACGGAGTAAAATCACACTTACGAATTTGAGAGAGAGAGACTGCGAATTAGAATGCAGTATTTTCAGAAAGAAGGAAGTTCTGTAATGTTTTTGGTGTGTTAAAAACGAAGCCATGCCTCAGAATTTATAGGCAATTATTGGAAAAGGTGTGATGATTGTTCTGGAAAAGGTGTCTTTTCAAAAGTTTACGCGGCCTGCCACGGTCCAACCGCGGTTACGCCAGGACCGCGGCCAGAGTGGCCCTCTGAATCTGCAGCAGGGTTCTGGCGCGGTCCTACCGCGGTTACGCTAGGACCGCGGCCAGACTATCCTTCTGAATCATCAGCAGTGATCTGGCATTTAATTAATTATTAAATAATTAATTAAATAAATTTTGTCCAAAAAATAATCTTATCGATCGATCATTTGACAAATCCAAATCCATAGCCGAAGACGAGCCGAGCGAGCGAGCGACGACGGCGCGAGGGTTCATTCTCTTCAACTCCTTTTAAGAGCTTTAAGAAGTGATTCTATATATAAGCACACAAATGTAGTTGTCCCTCACCAATGAGGGACAAAGTGCAAGTCAAAAGCTCACTTCATTCAAATTTTTATTTCCCACCATTTCCAATTCACACTCTTAGACTTTAAAGCCCAATGCTTAAAGTCTTTGAAGCCCAATGCCTTTAAAGTCCAATAATCCCCCACATGAATGGGAATGGCTGTAACAAGAATGATCATAGATGAAAGCTGTGTGATTTGCAAGTAAGGATTAATCGCATCTGGATAAGTAGGTTTCCCTTTGAACTTTCCGTAGTGAACATATGTCGGATATACTCGGTCAATCGGTAGATTTGATATCTTTGAACCGTCGAACTTTAGTGTATACCTAGACAACCATATGTCACACAACCAACCCTTAACCGTCTTTTTGTTCTCATTATTGTGTTCGTTTCAGCCATGAACCCCGCCTGGTTTCATAAGTGCGTAGAGAATTGGCCTTGCAGAATTCTCATTGAAGCGGCTTCCACTTCACACTTACATAGGTGATTCCTAAACGCGTGTAATCCTTTAGATTGACACTATTTGATAAATACCACATCAAACTTAGGTAATCATTAAAGAACGTGTAAAGTTCTATCCTTGTTACTGAACATTGTCTTCATCACGAGAAGGGACCAGAGATTTTACTTTGTCAATGTTGAACCGGTCAATCACAACTTTGTTTGAGCTCCTTGAACCTAGATCTCGGAACATCCAAAATTCTTGGTAGAGTTACCGCCATGTTGACTTGTCCTCGGCCATAGTCCCATTCCCTAGGATGATTTCTCAACTCCCTCTCTAGTTAAGCCTTTTGTAAGAGGATCCGCCACATTATCCTTTGATCTTACATAATCAATAGTGATAATTCCATTAGAAAGTAGTTGTCTAACGGTGTTATGTCTTCGTCGTATATGACGAGACTTTCCGTTATACATAACGCTCCCTGCCCGTCCTATTGCAGCCTCACTATCGCAATGTATGCAAATAGGAGCCAAAGGTTTTGTCCAGAATGGAATGTCTTCTAAGAAATTTCGAAGCCATTCAGCTTTTTCACCGGCTTTATCCAAAGCTATAAACTCTGATTCCATTGTAGAGCGAGCGATGCACGTTTGTTTGGAAGACTTCTAAGATACTGCTCCTCCACCAACAGTAAAAACATATCCACTTGTGGACTTTGTTTCTGTTGAGCCGGTTATCCAATTTGCATCACTATATCCTTCCATAACCGCAGGATATTTATTGTAGTGCAAAGCGTAGTCTTTGGTATATTCCAAATATCCCAGAACTCGTTTCATTGCCACCCAGTGATGTTTGTTTTGATTACTTGTGAATCGACTAAGTTTACTTATTGCACAAGCTATATCAGGTCGTGTACAGTTCATGATGTACATTAAGCTTCCCAACACACGAGCATACTCCAATTGAGATGTACTTTCACCTTTATTCTTTATAAGATGATGATTTAAGTCAATCGGAGTTCTTGCACTTCTAAATTCCAAGTGTTTGAATTTTTCAAGTACCATTTTCACGTAATGTGATTGAGACAAAGCTAGACCCTGAGGAGTCCTCTGGATTTTAATTCCTAGAATTACATCGGCAACTCCTAAGTCTTTCATATCAAACTTATTAGCAGGCATTCGCTTAGTAGCTTGAATGTCAGCAATATCTTTGCTCATTATTAGCATATCATCAATATATAAGCAAACAATGACTATATGATTTGGAACGTTCTTAATGTAAACACATTTATCACATTCATTAATCTTAAAGCCATTTGACAACATTGTTTGGTCAAATTTCGCATGCCATTGCTTGGGTGCTTGTTTTAGTCCATAAAGAGACTTAACAAGTCGAACACCTTCTTTTCTTTTCCCGGAACCACAAACCCTTCAGGTTGGTCCATGTAAATTTCTTCCTCTAAATCACCATTTAAGAAGGCTATTTTTACATCCATTTGATGGATTTGAAGATCATACAAGGCGGCTAACGCTATTAGCATCCGAATGGATGTAATTCTTGTTACCGGCGAGTATGTGTCAAAATAGTCAAGACCTTCTCGCTGTCTAAATCCTTTGACAACAAGTCTTGCCTTGTACTTGTCAATAGTACCATCGTCTTTCATTTTCTTTTTCATAATCCATTTAGAACCCAATATTTTGTTACCTGGAGGAAGATCAACCAATTCCCATGTATGGTTGCTCAATATGGATTCTATTTCACTATTGACAGCTTCTTTCCAATATTGTGCTTCTGAGGAAGACATTGCTTCCTTGGAGGTACGAGGCTCATTTTCTAGCAGGAAAGTTAGAAAATCTGGACCGAATGAAGTAGATGTCCGTTGACGTTTACTTCTTCTCGGATTTTCCTCATTAGGCATACCATCTGTTATTTCCTCCCGAGGTCGTTTTGAGTTTTGGTAGGTCACTTCACTTTCCTTTTTATACGGATAAATAGTTTCAAAGAATTCAGCATTATCTGATTCTATTATTGTATTAACGTGAATCTCAGGATTTTCTGACTTATGAACCAGAAAGCGATATGCCTTGCTATTGGTTACATATCCAATAAATATACAATCAACCGTTTTTGGACCTATCTTCACCCTTTTAGGTTTAGGAACTTGTACCTTAGCTAAACACCCCCACACTTTGAAGTATTTCAAGATGGGCTTTCTTCCTTTCCATTTTTCATAGGGAATGGACTGTGTTTTACTATGAGGTACACGGTTGATTATTCGGTTAGCTGTAAGTATAGCTTCCCCCCACAAGTTCTGTGGTAAACCAGAACTTATCAACAATGCATTCATCATCTCTTTCAACGTTCGATTCTTTCTCTCTGCAATTCCATTAGATTGTGGAGAGTAAGGGGCAGTTGTTTGATGAATAACGCCATTTTCCAAACATATTTCTTCAAAAGGAGATTCATATTCTCCACCCCTATCACTTCTTATCATTTTGTTCCTTTTGTTTAGTTGTGTTTCAACTTCACTCTTGTATTACTTGAAAGC